GTGTGTGTGTGTGTGTGTGTGTGTGTGTGTACATACATCTATGATATCACATATTGTCAAACAGAGTATGTCTATAGTGAAACAGAACTGCCCGGTAAACCATAGGCGAAGAGGGAGAAGAGAGGGCAATTGAACGAGCGGTTGTGGCAGACTTGTTTCATCGGATTTTCACCGACTCATCAGGAGGCTGAACCGTATGTATACTTTCTTATGATATCTATCTACTACAGACTACCCTGGTGGTCGTGGCCGTTTCTTAAACGTACAGTCTTGGTACGGGCGGTCGAGATTCAGTCTAAAACGCTATAGTTTGATGACACCTGGTGTTGCGATTCCCAACGAGTGGATTGTGGGAAACCGTAGGTGTGTGTGCGAGTGCACAATGAACATGGGGCGTGTGATAACAAGTGTCAGAGCCCAAAATATTTCAGAGAGTGGGACCACGCACCAATTTATTTATTTTTCGTGATGCTCGAACATCAGTTTAGGCCGACATTTTTTTTTGTTTTTGTTTTTTTGCCTCGCTCGTGGGCCTCGCTCCGCTATCTGGACTTAAAGTTTGGACTGATCGAAAGTCTTGAATGTATTGAGACCATTGCGAGCTGCGAAGACATTTATCAAGTTGTGCAGTGGGGCAAGGCCCAGTTTCATTTATTCCGTCCCTGTTGTCCTTTTCGTCGCAGTTTCGTTTGGGCCTTCGTTCCACTACACGACACTTTACATGCATTTGGATGCTCTGTGAACCCGATGCATTCAGAATGTTGCACTCGTCTGAATCCACCTGTGAAACGGTTTTCACCTGCTAGCAGTAGCGAATGCAGATCCCAGGGCTTGATCCCTAGTTCTGACCTTACCTGAGAACAGTATCGAGTTGACCCCTGAGTGTTTGAACCCGGGACCTGTGTTTTGTTAGTTGTTGTTTGTCTGTCGTAGGACTGTGCAGATGTAGGGATTCGATCTGTAGGTCTGTCCAGTAGGGGTCACAGCTCTGTAGAGGTTGTAGCTATAGGTCTTCTGAAAGGTCAAGGTCGTAGCTGCTACAGCCCTGAAAGGTCAAGGTCGTAGCTGCTACAGTACCCGAAAGGCCAAGTCCACAGACTTCCTGAAGGTCCCGGAAGTGGCCTTTCGGAGTGGGCTCACGTTTAGGCAGAGGCAAGTGGGCAAGTGGTGGAGCCAACCTCAGTACGTTGGCAGTGTGACCACAGTGAGTCTGCGGTGCAAACCCATGCAGTCAGCGGTACCGGTCCAGTCAGTCCCAGTCCAGTCCAGCGAGTACCATGAGGGACTGTGTGCACCATGGGCCGATGGAAAAGGGCAGACCAGTGAGTTACAGAAGTATAAATCAAGAGGCAGCGCCCAGCCATTCATTCATTCCTGCGTAAGCCATGCGGAAGCGCTGCCATAGCGACTTGTGCGAGGTGGTCTGCATTAAGCCCGAGGACGAAGTGGGCGAGAAGGAAGTTAGCCATAGCGATAGAGTAGCAGCGGCCATAGCCGCCATAGCTGTAGGTGTGTGCGGGTGTGTGCGGGTGTGTGCGAGTGTACAGGGTGTTGCGTGTGGGATATCCAGGGTGATCCTGTGTGCGAACAGCAGTGTTGAGTAAGTGACGAACAGAGAATTGTACAGGCGGTGTGCCACCATAGCCGTTGGAAGTGAACTTGTATCTGAGCTGCGTTCTTGGTACTATATCTCTGAGTTCTGAGTGGACGCTTGACACCAGTTTGCTGCGCAACCTGTTTGCATACATGTGAAGTGTGAATGAAAGCGAATCTGATTGCACTCGTATCGGAGCTGGTACCCACTATCCCACGCGCCACAGGGCGCCAAGTTGTCGAGCGCCGTGAAGAGGGAAGTCCCACCATAGCTGCGCTGCGGAGAAGTAACTTGTACCTGCGCACAAGACAACTACGAAGAGAGAGAGAGAGAGAGAGAGAGAGAGAGAGAGAGAGAGAGAGAGAGAGAGAGAGAGAACTGAGCGATACAAGATTGGTTTGCTACACACCTGCGCTGAGACATCACCACGAAGAGAGAGATAGATAGATAGATAGATAGATAGATAGATAGATAGATAGAGAGAGAGAGAGAGAGAGATCGAGAGAGTTGAGTGATACAAGATTGGTTGTGCAGTTCGACGAAGAAGGGAGTGGCGGCCATAGCCGCAGAGCTCGGACACGGGGTTGACGAAGGAAGGAGAAGTGGAGAAGGGAGGAGAGACCGGAGAGGAAGAGGAAGACATAGCCGAGGAAGGAGGAAGGAGGGGCAACGAAGTGGATAGCCGAAGGTGAACAAAAAAAAAAAAAAAAACAAGGTGAAGGAGGGGGAAAGAGAAGTGAAGGGTGGCGAGGAAGGAGATTCCAGCAGCCATAGCCGACTTGGAGGTTGACCGGGCGTTGACCAAGGGTTGACCGGGCGTTGACCAAGGGTGGACCGCATGTTGACCGGAGGGTTGATCGGAGCTGTTGACCACGATTTTGACCAAGCTGAAGTTGGTAAAATCTCGCCAAGCCCTTAGCCTATCCCCTCGCCCTATGGATGTGCACTCACCCTATGGTACTTGCTGAGTTTGAGTCTGTCTGTCTCTTCTTTCTGCATTGAGTCTCTTCTGTCCAGGTGATAGGACTCCTTTGTCGGGACCAGTGGGTCCCGAGATAAGTCCCGACCTTTGAGAGGCGGTATACCGCAGAATTGTGCATGGCAGAGAAAACCGGAGGCAAGAAGGATAGAAAGACTAAAGGCGTTAGTACCGACACTTAGGGATTTAGAAGTTGCCCGGGGTTGCCGGAACCACTGGACCGAGGAAAGACTAGCGGAACGGCGAGCGGCAGGGGACCGCAAGAAATTAACAAAGACGGCACTTCCCCCGAAAAGGAGAAGGACCGCCGGAAAAAGTAATCTCGCAAGTGGCGCACCGCAACGAGAGAAAGATTGAGGAAGAGGAGAAAATAATAAGTAAGATGTCGGCGCATGGGATTGTAGCGGGACCAAAAAGGCCACCAAGATGCTGCGTCAAGAGGGCCAAATGGGCTATGGGCCAAGTTAAAAGCCACGACCGGGAAGATCGACTTGTGGAACATGAGGAAGACAAAGGGAATGAGGCCACCGTAACGGGGGGGGAATGCCAAAGGAATCTGGGAACACTGGCGGGGCAAAGTGTCGGGGACCACCGACGGGACAAAGTGTCGAAAACCACCGGTGGGACAAAATGTCGGGGACTACCGGCGGGACAAGTATCGGTGGGACCACCGACGGAACAAGTACTGGCGGGACCACCGGTGGGACAAGTACCGGGGGGACCACTAGCGGGACGAGTACTAGGGACTAGCGTGGGACAAGCGACGGGGACTTGCAAAGTTCCTAGGAAAAGTTGTGGCGCAACGTGAGGTGCAAATAATTAAAGCAAGATGCACCGTCAAGATCTTGACGGCCAAAAATGTTAGCACCACTAGTGTAAGCACTAGTGGGAGCAAGCGGGAAGGCCAAAAGAAAAAGAAAAAGCAAAGAAACAGGTGGTGGGAGGCATGGGAGCAATCTGAAAAATCTTGGATTGGCCCCCCCCAAGAAAATAGAGTCGAAAGAGACAACATGTGAAAAATAGGCCTCCGGGAGAAAATCGGAGCATAAGGGGCCACTGTGGGAGAAACGTGGAAACAAAAGGTGGCTCCCATGAACATGAGAAGGCTGCAGCTGCAGTCCGAGAATTAACGGAATGCACCATGGGCCTATGAAGGGCTAAACGAAGAGGAAGGGCCTAGAAAAGGGCCTTAACGGCTAGTTGACACTTGGCATGTAAGAAAGAAAAAGAAAAAGAAAAAGAAAAAGAAAATGGGAGGTGAGAGGGAATGAGTGAGCTGGCCGTCAGTAGGGACTGGCAAGTCCCTACTGTCCACAAGTGGACGGAAAAAGAAAAGAAAAAGAAAAGGAGAAAAGAAAAGAAAAGTTAAAAGGGCACTAACAGCCAAAAACGGCCACCTAGGGGATGCATTTGTGGCCAGATTCATTCTGGCATACGCCGGTTACAAAGTATCTTGATTTTCTCTTGATTTTGCATAGAAAATCAAGAAAAATTAAGCCCTCATGCAACCGAGATACAACGGATTGCATGAGGTAGGCCAAACACATGTTTTAGGTGCACCGAGAGCCAAAATGGAGACCGGATGCACTTGGAAGTTGGCCGTTTTCTTTTCTTTCAATTTGAGGCTTGTTGTGGGGTAGTGGGACTAGGAAGATGGCCCCTACTACAGTCCGAGCTGCAACGGACTGCATGGGGAAGGGAAAATACAAGTTTGAGCCCGGATGCACTCAAAAATTGAGCACTTCATTTTCTTTCAGTTGGGGGTAAGTTGTGATAGGAAATTGAGCACCATTGCAGTCCGAGAAATAACGGACTGCATGGGGATGCCTAGGCCAAGAGGATATGAGCCGCGGCATGCCCAAGGAGGCTGGAAAACGGTGCCGCAAGCCTAAGGGAATGTGACGGTAAATGGTGATTGCAAGGTGGGGGTCTCGCGGCCGGAAATAATCGGCACGCTCGAGACGCATGGGAATAATAAATTGGGACTGTCGGGGACAAGGGGAATCCCAAATAAAAAAAATGGGACGTCGACCGGGGCGATGCCGGGAGCTAAACGGGGCCTAACAAAAATTGTCGGAAATTGGGATTTTGTTGATGGCACCGCCGGCGGGACAGAAAAATGGGACTAGCATAAGGGAGTGGCGGGGACTTGAGGTGTCCCAAGGAAGTCACAAGCCAATGAGGGGAATGAATGCGCAAGGCCAACGACACCGCCAAGATCGAAGATCTTGACGGTGAAAAAT